AAATTTCGTGTTTGATTTATTGACTTGTTTATTTTTCTTCTTTGCTGCGTGATTCCCGGTGGGATACACAGGCAGGGCTGTTGGATAGAGCGGAATATCAACAGTTATCTGAAATAACAGGGATCACTCGGCAGCGTTCGGCGTTGGGAGCCTAAAGGGCCGAGGCCAAAGGGGAGCGGAGGGGGGTGAAGCCTCCACGTGCGGCCCTGGGTGTTGGCGCCCGCTGGTCCCGCTCGTCTCTGCGCTCTAAAGCACCGAGCGGATCTGGGCGCTCTTCTTGGGGCCAGCTGGCTCCCCCAAAGAGCCCCCTTGGTTGTCCTGGCCCTTGAGCAAGTTCTCCCTTTCCTTCCTTCGGGATTTTCCCAAGCACGTTGCTGCGCCGTCCTGGATCTGGTTGTGCTGGGGGCATGCGGGCTGGGGACAGCAAAGGCGGATGATGGAGCTGAGTTTCACTGTGGTGACAAACCCGTCCGCGGTCGGTGCCGTCTGCTCGCGGTCGTGTGGATGTGCGGTACGGCCAAAACCAAGGGCAGGACGCGGGGACGGATTTCCTGCGTGGAATGAGCCTACCTGAAACAAATCCCTTCCTTCCGCTGCTCACTTGTCACGAGGCAAGTGGGACTCGGCGCAACTAGGCTGCCAAATGAAGAGGCAGGAGGAGAGCGGGATCATAAGTCATTTTGTTCGCTTCTCCCAAAACATTATTGGTGTTTTGCTTACTAGAAGCTTTCAGAGAGCTTAACTTGCTTTGCCAAAAAAACTTGATGCTGCTGTTTAAGCCCAGAGTATTTTTCTCTACTGTGTACTGGAATATTTGCTACTCGTGTTCTGTAATTGCAGTTTCTTGTCGCAGTTGTAATGTACCACTGGCTTCAATAGGGTTCTACTCTGTTCTGATAGATGCATTCCCTGTCATGGTTTCCTACTGCAATGCTAAAAGTTAGGGAGTACAACCAGGTAGTTGTAGGATGTTTGTAGGGACCCAGAAAAGAGAAGCTTAGTGCATGTTCCTCCATAGTCGTAGCTGAATAAAGTCACCTTTGTTCATCAGCAAACAACTTTGGCCAAGCTTTTTGGCTCTGATTTCTGCTGTGATATCTAACCAAATGAGTGTCCGTGCACAGACCTGCTGTATGACGTGTTTCCCTTCTTGCAACATATAAAGAATGCTGCAAGCCTATTTAAATACAGAGTGTGGTTTATACTTGTTTCTTGTCCTCACTGGAATTCAAAATTACCACTTGCAACATCCCAGACGGTGATGGACTGCTCCAGCGCTCCGGTGTACGAGTACTTGTCATCTTTTGAGAAGCAAGCACAGCGAATGCCTTTCAGGAGAGATATGGGCTAAAAACGGACCGTGGTTCGGATTAGATTGTTGTATTGACAGGTAGACCGAGAGGGAGAACGTTCAGTGGTTCGGTTGTTGCTGTGCTTCCCCGCGGGACCCCTCTGCGCTGACTGGCCCCCGCAGTCTGTGCCAAGGGCAGGATTGGGCTCCCTGGACATATCTAGGTCAGTGTGTGCTTTGGTTGTCCTCGCGACAAAATGACCCACTTTCTCTGTCCTCTGTTGTTAGAGCAGTCGCAGATGGAGCTGGGGCATGGCTGAACATGAAGGCTGAATAAATCCTGCCTTGGTGCAAGCTTACGTCTATGGAAATAGATATTCTCTCATTCTTGATCTGTTTCTTAGTTTATCATTGCTACCCCAACTTATCCATAATAGATGGGTGAATAGATGCATTCTGGCTAGGTATCCCAGGACCAATCTTACCTGTGAGGAATCCGGTGCGCGTCGTGTGCAGGGGCGCAGCAGGAGGCTGCAAAAATCCACGCAGTGGAACGGGACCAGGATGGGGACAGGCACTGAACCAGCTTCGTTAAATCATTAACCGCATCTGCACTGAGATGCAGCCACGTTTTGGAGTGATCTCGCTCTATTCAGAAGACAACCAGCTCGTAGCAACCTGTGATTGTCACCGGGGCCCCGTCCCCACGGCTTCCTTCCAAGCATCCGTGCTCTCCCGATCGGCTGCTCTACTCCTCAATCCAGTTGCTCGCTGGGGCTGCCTGCGGACACGCTTGTCCCCGTTTCAGTGTCACAAAGGCCTTAGCAGTATTAATATCACTTATGGGTCAGGCACTCTTAGCCATTGCAGTAGGTTTCTTTACGTGCTGGGATCGTGCCCGTGTCCTGGCACCATTTGACTTGTGTAGAATTGTGCAGGAGTTATCTAATAACTACTAAACTTAGTTAAAAATGTTCACACCAGGGAGCGGAACTCTCCCTGCAACACTAATTTTAGAATTCAGGCCCAAATTAGCAGACTGTGTTTGGAAAGACAAGGCCTACCTGCTCGAAGGGGAATTTTCGGGGTTTGGGATGGCTGGAAAAGAGGGTGTTTGCTTCCTGCAGGAGAGCAGCATCGTGTGTGCTGGCAAGCAGGGAGTTTCCGCTGTTTGCAAATCAAAACAACCAAAACCAACCACCCAACCAATCCTTTTCAAGGGATATCCTGGACCCCAGGCTAGGAAAATGTTCAAGCCTCTAAACACAGCAGAACTGTTTTCTGTATCCATATGCTGCCTGTCCCCTAAAGCTCTGTCTGAAATCACCGTCTCACACGGATTCTTCCTAAAAGGTTACATTTGCAAGTGCTCTAAAAAAAAAAAAAAAAAAAACCTTTCAAATTCTTTTTAGGAGCAGAAAGAAGATAGATGGGGGTCATGCGGGAAGATGTTGTGAGTGGTGCTTTGCCGTGTGATAGAGTGCGAAAAGAGGCAAACGCTGGTGCAAGTGTGAAAGAGAGGCCAGACTGCAAGATACTCCTGAATGTGGATGTTGGCACTTTTGCCATCTCCTCGTTGTCAGAAATGTCATCACGGAGCTGAAGTGAGTAGTAACTGCGAGTCACGATGGCAGAGCAGCCTCCGGGACGGCAGAAAATCCATTTCTCCCTGTCTGTCTGCTTCCTGCAGCTCCTGAGCCGTGTCCCTGCCTGGAACAGACCACACGAGGGCAGGATTCAATCCCTATCCCCAGCTGGTTTTGCGGGCGGTTCTCGGGACTCAAACACTGTCTGTGTTTAACAAAATTGAAAACCCTTTGTCCAGCGAGGCTGAACATCAGCATCCTGCCTGCTGGAGGAATCCGGGTGAGCAAGGAGCGGACCCCAGCACCTGAGAAAGGCTGAACCAGAGGCCAAAAGTGAAATCGGGAGGAAGCAGCTGCCGATTTGCGTGCCCTGAGAAACATGAGACGTGGCAAACACTGAGCTGGACAAGTGACTCCTACCAGCTTTCACATTCCCCCTTCCAATATCTGGGGAACTCCTGCTCTTTCCCGGGAATGAAACTTCTTTGAAGACCCCCTGCTAACTCTGTGACAATCATCTACACCCTGAGAGTTAGAAAGCCTTTCTCTTGATTGCGCTGCCCAGTTTATTTACTTCCCTTCATTGACTGTGGGGAATAATTTTAAGTTTTCTGCACAATCATCCATTATTTTTCTACAACCAGAATAAGGGCTTTAGAGCTTTCCTTATCTGTGAAGCTGATCTGCAAAGATAAAATCTGTAGCTGCTTTATAGGGCTGGCCATGTGTAAAAGGGAAAGGGAAACCTGTCAATCAGCAAGAAACGCTGAGAACAGCAACTGAAGCACTTTGCTTTTTCCATCAGGCAACCAGGGCCTCTTTAAGGATTAAACCTATTGCTAAATTTAGGTGCATCTCACTCGAGTTAGTATCAGGAGTTATCAGATCAGAACATCTTTGGAAGCAATGACGTCTGTCCTGTGGAAGTCTAAGCCCTGGCGCGCTGCTCCCTACCCCGAGCAGAGGTTGGGGCTGGGAACATTTTGCACGGCCAGCAGCACGTTGGATTTTTCAAAGCACTTGTAAAAATCTCTCCTTTCCCTGCTGCTGTCTGCTCTTTTCTCTAGCTCCTCAGCAAAATCTGTTGGCAACACTGAAGGTGTACGGTATAGGAGAGGAGAATATTTAACCAAACACTTTAAGAGGTAGATGGGAGGGGAAAGAAGTGACGTCCGTAAGAAAATTAGTAGCCTTTTCCAGGCAGTGTTGTGGCAGGCTGTGCCCCTGCAGAAATGGCCCAAATCTGCTGCTTTGGAAAGAAGAAATCTTTGCTGTCTGGCATGCAGGAGGGCAGCCGGGAAAGGCTGCCAAAACTCAGCCCTAAATCTTCAAGAAAGGGTCTGTATCTCTCCCAGTGAAACGCTTCACTCAGTGAAAGCTGAGCCTCCTTTCTGGCAGCTGATCACATCCCAGGAAAGGTACTTTGAAGGTGAACAAAGTTTTAGCTTTTAACTAACTTTAGCTTTTTCTTTCTCGTGGGGAAAGTCATAGAAGGAAGGTGAACAAAGTTTTAGCTTTTAACATATCTCAGAATATTTCTTTCTCGTGGGAAAAGTCATAGAAACACCCTTATTTGCTCAAGCACCAATGAACAATCAGATTCACTTCACAATTTTATTTTTGAGGGCTTTCATAAAACAAAATTCCCCTTAAACCAGACATCTCATAGAACATGAATGACAGTCTTGTGCATGCTAGTGTTACAGCACGTTTCAGTAGAAGAGTATCTGCAAAACCAGGCAGAACGCCTGTTTTCTACCCAAGGGGAGGGAGAGTCACAGAGGTAAGGCACTTTCCAAATCCAAGCCCACAATTAATCTGACCTCCTGTGCTGGCTTTCATCTGGTTGTACACAACAATCTTTAGGTTACAGGTACTCTTCTGTTAAAGTAACATTGTAGTTTTACTTTTGTAACAGGAACAAAAGAGGGGGGAGTCCCTGAAGTCCTCCAATTTATATTCCCCTTTTCAAGCCCCTCCCTTACCACCATTTTCAAATTCCAGATGACAGCAAAGAAAACCCTCATCCCTGGGGATGGCAACAGGAGCTTAATGAAACACTCAGGATCCATCCCCAGGGATGTCACAGCCACAGCAATCTCAGCTCTTGCTGATGAAAAAAAAATAGAACAAATACAGGTCTTTCGAGCACAGTGCTCTAAATGATGCTTTTAAAAATAAATTCCTTAAGAACAGTTTGAATCTAGTCTAAAAGCCAATATTCGCTAAGCCAAGACAGACTCTTCCCTGAGCCACGTAAGACATTTGATATTCTTCTTCTCGGGGCACAGGCTCCTCCCAGAGGTCAGAGTTTTACTAGAAGGGACATACAAAGGATACTGTTTCTTCAGCTCCTGTTTTCTTATCAGTCCTTTAAAGTAATTTCAATCATTTGTTGCAAAATCCCCATTTTTGGCCTTTTAATGTTATTTTAAGAGTATGAAAAATACTCCTTTCTGTATGTAGGAAAGGAGTTAAGGCTGACCTCCAGCACAAGCCAGCACGTAGCTGGGGGCTTAAGACCTTGCTTAGAAGTATCCAATTCTGTATATGAAGATGCAAAGCTTTTTAAAAAAGCCATTTTCAGGTCCATTAATTTGCTGCCCTGACACTTACAAATAAATAGTAATAAATACTCATGTACACTTACACATTCTTCATGTGTCCTACTGGATGATAAACCAGAACCTGGCTTCTTCCTCAGATAAATACAATGAGTTTTGAGGTGGGACACAATTGCTAACAACGTGCAGCAACACTACACAACAGTTTGGAATAACAATACATACCACTGAGAGCATTTTGCAGCTTCAAAGCCCTTGCAAACAAAGATTTAGCTAAGAAATAGATAATGTTGTATCCATTAAGAATCAGGGAGAATTTAGATGAGAAGAAGGCAATTACCCAAAGTGGAATTTGGCCCGGACACCAGTTGATGTCCTTACCGCATATAAAATGTCACATTAACTGGAGATACTGCAGACGTGGGAGCTAAGAAAATTAGATCAGGTTCATATGAGATCATTTAATTTCCTTGAGTATGAAAATCCCATTTAGACACGTGAATTGTGTCCTAAACAGTTTGCTGTTTTGGCAGACATCAAGAAGGTCATTGAAAACTCAAAGGAATCTACTGAGCTGCAGGAGCACAAACCACTATCTCCATTCAGAAATTAATACAATGAAAGGTTTTACATCAGTTGAAAATGCTGCATCATAATTGCTGACAGTTTGGGATCTGGCACCCAAGTATCATCCTGGCACAAATCTACAAATCCCTTAAAATAAGCACAGAATAGAGACAGACCGAGTAGCAAGAAGCAGCAAAGAGCACAGATGTAATTCAGGGACCTGCCTGGCAGTGTCCTGGCTTCCAAATCTTCCCTGAAGTCTCAGAGAAAAGGACTGGAGGATAAATGAGGTCACAGGTATCTTTGAGATGCAGCTCTGGAAGAATTTTCTTGGCCTATTTACTGTGCAGTTGTTTCTTTTACTCGGCTTTTTTTGCTTTCCTTTTCCTTGTGCCTTCATTTAGCTCCTCTTTAGACTTTGCAGGAGGCGGCGGCGGATGGGAAACGTCATGGGAAGCCCCGTGGTGGTCATGATGGTGACTAGCGTGTCCACTAGCAACAGAGCCAAAGAAAACTGGGCAGATGAAGTCTTCAATAGGAGCAAAAGGTGAGGCATGAGAGTGAGTCGCTGTCATGAAAACCTGGCAAGCAGCAGTGGGGACAGAGAGTTAATGATCACAGAACACTGACTAGCAGTATCTGCCCCCTAAGCCCAGGTAAGAGTCCCTGTTGCTACGTCACCTGAGAGTGTACTGCAAGGATCTACCGGGCTGTACAGCCTATGGAATGAAGAATTCCGTCTATAAATTCTTGAACACCCTCCCCTGTCGGGCAATGCCTTCAACAGGGGCTTAGGAAGGTGACCAGAGCTAGGTGCAAAAATTACTCCTAGTATTTCTTAACAGAAACTGGTGGGACTCACCAGTTGTTTTCTTACTGCCCTGCAGAATAGCTCATCCTCATCACTAGCTTTCTTAAAATTAACGTTTTCACTTTTTCCACTTCTTTATGAACTTACTCATGTAGAAACTCTACATGGGCAAGACAACACGGATGCCTACATGGAAGTTCTGGTGAGTGAGGAAACACAGATCAGCAAAACCCAGTAAACAGGGTAGAAAGCAGCATTCCAAAGTCCGGGTTTCAACTTAAACTAATGAATTCCCTCAACTCAACTCTACAGCCCTTTTCTTCTCTGCTTCTGCAGATTTGTTTTAGCAGCAAATCTGCTATAAACTTACCTTGCAAACTATCATGAACATGGTAAAAAAGAAGATAAGGTTGGCTTCAGAGATGGGGAGCCAGTGAGTTTGCTGCAGAGTGAAGAGGAGTGTGCCATAGAGACTAGCCTTTGTAGGGCTAGAAGAGAAATAAGCAAGCTGTAAAAGGTTTGCATAGTAGAAGAGAAACAACAAGGTGTCTAGAAGGTTTGTGTATTTGTACCCAGCCCATTTTCAGTCTAACAGAGAATTTGCCATTAGCTACTTACAAGGACATATGAAGAATTTCATTTGTTTCTGGCTTCCAGACCCCACGCAAGAGTTGCTCGAAGTTGGACATCAAAGCAACACCAGAACCTGCAAACCAGTAAAAATGAACAAATAAAACTACCACAGCAGAAGAGAGCTTTGCTCTCTCTTCCAGTGTCCCAAGGAGGAAGGATAACCTGGGAGGAACAAGATCGTAACTTATTTCCCGAACTTGGCTGTTGTTACCCCAAAGCAGCAGGTAGCTTTGTCCACGCGCGGGCCCCGCGTGCTGTGTCCCCCTTGGCCTCCCGTGTCCCGGCTCGCTGGAGCCCCTCACCTTTGACCCAGCCCGTGGCCATCATGACGAGCCAGCCGTGGTGGTGCGCGTGGTGGACGCCCGCCGCGATTTTGCGGACTCTCACCACCTCCTTCATGGCCACGAAGACGAGCTTCATCGGCAGGAAGCTCACACACTTGTAGAAGAGGTTCATGGGACAGAAGAATATCAGGTACCTGGAACAAAACCCCAAAGAGTTCAGGGAGCCTCCTCACTTGGGAGGCACGGGCAGGGTTGAGAATATTGTGGTGCTCCCCTGAATTACGTCAGGGAAAAGGAAATGCTGGCAGCGTTGCACAAGAGCACATAGATGCACGGAGGAAATTAACCTTTGAGAAACCGTGTTCAATGTGTGCCCATTCCACTGACGTGACCAAAAATGACCCCCAAAGTCGCTGCGTGCCACCCCTCCGCTCTGTGCGGTGTCAAGTGCAGCACATGCTGCCTTGGGGCTTGGCGGCGCCTCAGCTGTGGCTGCTATGAATAGAAATGCCCTGCGGCTGGCCCGGCCCCAGCACAGCTACCCAAAACACCGGACAACTGCTCAGACAAACTGGAAACCGGATCTAGGACCACAAAAGACTCGAAGGCCACCTCACACTGCCTCTGCCTTCCCCCAGTTCTCCCAAGCAGGATTACACGTGTGTGTCCCAAGCAGAATCCCTCTCTTCACCCAGGATAATTTCATACCCAGTCTGCAGTGTCTTAAGCTTAATTAAAGCAAGATGAAGTGTGAAAGACTCACCAGACTGCCGTGGCCAGGACAACGCTGGAGTGATTGCTGAAATAATGAAGAGGGGATTCTCCAAGCAGCAGGTCAGCAAGGATGTAGCTTCCAAAGCAGTGGAGCATAGCACAAAGCCAAGAGGCGAAAGGGCTTCTACGAGACATCTCCACAGCTCCTGGGAAGCAAATTCCGAATGAGGAGACACATCCAGCAAACACACAGAGGCTCCAGTACCCTCCAAGAGACTTTCATTTTCTCTGACAACAAAATGTCAGAGAAAATTCGATGTAAAACAAAATACAAACGTGTATTCTGTGAGACCTGACCACGCACAGATATTGTCTAGAAATGACACATGACCGTAGCTTACAGCCCCCCCGGGAGATTTCATACAAATGGAGCCATTACAAGTTTGTGAGTTGGCTAAGATTTTATCTCCTACAGTTTCTGCTGCCTCCTGCAAATAAAAAGAACATTTTTTCCTTGAAATCATTGTCTCTTTACAGTCTAAAAATAAAATGCATACTAGTACCATTCTCTCCATTGCTTCAACCTAGGTGCCCTCTAGAATTCATGCACAAGCTGAACAGCTCTTTCATTCATAAGATAACCTGTAAAAATAGAACAGTAATTCTTAATCTTTTATTTAAGAGAAGGGGAGATGAGGATCCTTTCCTGCCTCTGCTCTAATTTGAAAAATCCCTATAAGTTTAGAAAATAGAACTATGTATTAGAGCAGTGTTATGGTCTGGCAATCCATTTTGGTCTCCCGGAGCCTTGTGCTGTGTTGTTGGGTTATTTTTTGATCCCTGTAGCCGTCTCCGTCCATCACTGCTTCTCCAGGGAGGTCTCCGGAGCACATCGGCTCCGTAAGACTCTTTGATCGCCCTGCGCTGATTGCAGAGCCCTCCGTACAGCGTTTCGGTCGCCGCACTCATTCAGCGAGCCAGAAACAGGCAGCCAAATGACGGAACGCCGAAATGTTGTGTCAGCCCCGCTAACGGTGCCCGGCCGTAACTAGCGGCACACGGTGACCGCTCATCGCAGAACGAAACCCGCAGCCCCGAAGACACGCAAAGCGGCCGCAAACACAGCGGGAGCGAGACAGCTGCAACAGCCCTTGCGAGGCTGCTTCCAGCGGGGCGATTTCGGCTCCCCTCGTTCAGCGGCACGGGAGGGAAGGCAGCGGCGGTGCCCGCGGGCCCCGGCCCGACGGACGGCGCTATTTCTGCCCGCCCGCCTTATATAGCCGCGGGCCGCGGCGGCCGCACTGACCTGGCTCGTACTTGAGGTAGAGCACGGAGACGATGTAGTAGGCGAGGTCGAAGAGCGGGAACACGGGCAGGGCGGCGAAGGCGGCCGCGAGCTCGCCGAGCGGCAG